AATAATTTTAAAATATAAATAAATCATACTTTAAAACATGAAATTAAACAAAATAATTTATTTTTTTCGCATATTTATTATTATATAAAATATATTTTTAAATCAAATACTCATATATCACTCGAGCAAACATACTAGTTCACCCGAAATAAACATATTAGTTCTTAGCAAATTTTGGTAGTGTAAATATAGGTATTTATTTTTAAGTTTTTGAACATAGTTATTTTTTGTTTAGAATCACATTTTTAAAAAAATGAAAGATAACTCTATTCAAGTTTAAAATATTCACGAGTTAACTTTTTGGAAATAATACTTAATTAATTAAAAATAATTAATTTTAAAAATTGCCAAATGAGAATAAAAAATTAAAAGTCGACCATAGGTGACATGATTAATCTCAGCAAACATAGGTGACCTGATTTGCTATTTAAATTGAACCAACTGCCAAAGAAATATAATAAGGTAGAGCCACAAGGGACATTTGGTGTGCTCTAGAATGCTTAGCCAATTAGCGGTTAGCACACGTCAAGAAACCTTTGTTTTTCTCTGAAGAAAATAATCAAAGTTTTGGCGAATAGATTTGTGCCTGGTGGATTACAGGTTCAGTTCTTGGACTATGCACAAAGCCATACACTATAATAGAAAAATTGAAGAAAGGTGACTCACAAGATCACCATTCGCTGAAAAAGTTGATCATTAATTTTATTCATGTTCTTACTTTATTATGTGGTCTTGGTCATTGGTCTCGAATATGTAAAAATATACCTCCTAAAATAATTACTTTGTTGGTTAATAAATTATTAACTAAGTTAATCTGACCTTGTTCAAACCATAAGTTAGTGGAATTTTATACACATTTATTCATTTGTTTATTTTAATAAATAGAATAAAATATTAATTTAAATAATATATGTATTTATTTTTATTAACTTTAAGTTATTTTGAATTAAAAAATCACTAGTGTGTTACAGACATTCTATGTCAGCTCAAGACGTGATATAGGTCTTAGCGACATAGAATGTTAGCACATTCTATGATGGGTGAATACGTGAATGTTTGGTGGTCAACACCTTAAATAATAAGATGTATGAAATACAATGATTTGGTATATCGACATCTATATTCTATGGCGAATGTGGTACTACCCACCCTATAATGTGTACATTTTATGATAGGTGTAATGTTATCCATCATAGAATATTAATATTTTATGACAAGTATGGTAGAATTCACATTAGTAGGTAGATTTTATGCGATAATATTTGACAGGTTCTCTAACAAAATTTGAGTATAAGAACTAAAATAATTTTTTTTTGAAATTATAAAGACTAAAAAAACCAATTTTTAAATTTAAGAGGCTAAAAATAAATTTACCTTAAATTTGAGAGATTAAAAACATATTTAAACCTCCCTTAAAAAAAACATATTTAAACCTCCCTTAAAAAAAAACATATTTAAACTTAAATTTAATTTCATCAAATAAAAGTTTATCATGTTCATTAATTTTAAAAGTTATTTTAAAAATAAAATAAAATTGGTTTTGGTTATAACCAGTTATACCAATTATAATATATGTGATTTTTAAACGTTAAAACCAATTATGATAAGTTAAAAGCGGTTATAAAAAAAAGTTATGGTTAATAACCACTTAATATATATGGTTAATTTTTATAACCATTTTTTTAAATAAATGGTTATTATAAAATTAGTTAATTATGGTTATAGTTAATTTTTTTTATAGCCAGTTATTTTAATCACTCCTAGCGATAATCATGTTTTTTTAGTTGAGTTTCCATCTATCGAGTACCAAATTGATTCATCATTCTAACTTCATTTAGGTTTCCTATTGAGATAAGGTTTAGATGCATCTCAAGTACATGACATATCTCAAGTACATGTCTAACCTCTTTCAACACTAGCTTGTTTCCATTTTTGGTTATCAAAGTCACTTCTCTCATGCCTACAATATTAATTGCTATATAATTTCCCATCTCCAGTATACCAAAGTCTTTACTTTGATATGGTGAGATTTTCATTTAGTGTGGCATGAAAGGATGCACTAGAATCAATTATCCAAATGCAATCATCAAATAAATTATTTAAATAATTTTCATTAATGAAGAAAATGTTCTCATCGTTTAAGATCACTTCCGAGTGGTTTTTTCTCCCATTTTCTTCTTGGGTTCTATCTGATTAGGATGAACTATTCCAACTTTTTGATCTATACTTTGACTTCTTGTGACCATCTTTGCCATAGTAAAAACAAGTTAGGCTTTTGGTGCGAGACTCGAATCTTCCTTCTGACTTCATATGGTTTCCTCCTCTTCCTCTTTACTTACCCTCCCTCTATTATCAAGAATGTTGACTTCAAGCTACTTGAGGCTCTTTCTCTCCTTCTTTACTCTTCATTAAGCAAACAATTTACAACAATATTTGTGTTAAGTTGTCCACCAAGAGCAAAATTGTTATTAGTGACAACCAATGTGTCCTAACTCTCAGGCAAAGAACCAAAGAGTAAACAAGTTAGTAAGTCGTGATCAATTTTCATTTTTACCTTTATCAATTTATTCACAAGTCCTTTAAAGGAGTTTAAGAGTTCAATCATGTTCTTACCTTCAAAGTATTCCAACTTCGCCAATTTCTTGACGATATGAACTAGGGGTGTGCATAGTTTGGTTTTTTAAAAAAGACGCACCAAATTGCATCAACCATTTTAATAAAATAAACTAGTTTATAAATTATGTAAACCACTTTAACAAACCAGTTTAAAACTGAATTACTTTAATAAACAAGTTTATAATCGGTTTAAAACTAGTTTTATAATAAAACCAGTTTTTAAACCGGTTTTAAGAAATAAGCTAGTTTTAACCGAGAGAAATATGAGTAATTTCTTGATAAATTTAGAACTGGGTATGAAAAACCTTTACATTAATGTGAAGTAACAACCAACAGTGTGTAGTTCTGTAACTATTACAGGCTTACAGCATCAGCGGTTCAACAAGTACTTACTATTGGGCTAGGGATTTCGGAAGGTTGTCCGGGAAATAGGTGGAAATCCAAATATATTAATAAACCAAACCTTTAAAAAATAGGTTTAGTTTTTTCGTTTTATTTTAAAAAATTAAATCTGGTTCAGTTTTATTACAATTGGTTCTAGTTTTTTAAAAATGGTTCAGTCTAGTTTTAAATTCAGTTCAGTTTTTTTAATTTTTTTGAACACCCCTAAGATGAACCTTGTTCCTTGGAGTCTTCTTTTTGAATCATGAATTCAAGCTCTGTCCATAACTCATACGCATTGATATAAGTCGATACATGCTCAAACAAACTTCAATCAATATATTTTCGAATCATAGCAACAACTTCGTGATTTAGAAGTTCTCAATCTTTGTTTATTCCTCTAGCTTATTCTAATTTGTTATTAGCTCATGCAAATCCTTGCAATATAGATGATCTATCATCATCAACTTTCAATAGGAGTAATGATGTGTAGTTAACTTGAACATATTTGCATCATGAGTGATAGCTACCTCTACCTCAAGTTATATAGGCTAAAGGCTCCCTTAACCAAGTGAATTCTGATACCATTGTTGGGAATTAATAGATCTAGTTCCTACATCTGTGAATGCAAAATAGACATTATACAAAAGTGAAAATAAGAAGAAAGAGTAGAATAATAACACCAAAAAAATTTATGTGGAAAACTTTCTCAATATGAGTAAGAAAAAATCATAGGACCTAGTCTAGAATGAGATCTCCACTATGAAAGTAGGATTACAAATTGTCTCTTTCTCTATAAAATCACTTAAAGAATCTCATCTCTTGATGATTATCCCTCAATTCTTACTAAGTGTAGTTTGAATAACACTTTCTTTCTCTTAAAGATATATATAAAAAAATTTTTACTCTACTCTATTTCTTTCAAGAGCACTCTAGGATGGATTATAATCAACAATTTCATCACTTCACAAGTCTCTCTATTCACAGAAAATGAAAGAACTTTTCATTCATGTTTCTTCATTCATGACTCTTCAATCATCACTCTTTATTCATGAATCTTGATGAAAAATGACTTATCGTAAAGATATGACTCGAAGTTCTTAAAATGAAGGAATCCCAACATTTTGTAACACTACTTAGTTGGGGTATTAAAAATATTTTGAACCAACTAAACTAAACGCACAATACGTCCACGTTCTAAAATGAGAAAAATTGACAGTTGATTCTCTCTATGCAAAATAACTTGAATTATTCCAAAACACGAAATTATGTAAATTATGTAAAATAACTTGTTCTTATTAATTATTCCAAAACACGAAATTGAATCAATACATATAAATGAATTATAAAATATTGTTGTCTTGCGTGGTTTATAAAAATAGTTCCGTTAATAAATAAAAACTGCTAGTTGCAACCCCAGTAACAGGCATTTCACTGGTTCGTATTTTCACCAAACAAAAATGTAGTTGTATTGAGCTTTTTAGTTGTAAGGTGGTATATATGAGCAAACAAACATGTAAGTTGGAAACACCAACTACTTGGGATGGAGATCCCATAGCAGTATGGCTAAAATAAATAGAGTATATAAGTAGCAATAATTCCAACTACTTGGGATGGAGATCCCATAGCAGTATGGCTAAAATAAATAGAGTATATAAGTAGCAATAATTCTTAACCAAATTGTAGTGTAAAAATTATTTTTCAGCTATATATTTTATTTTAACTATATCATTAGTCAATGTAAAATTTTTATCACATTAAATTCCCTGAATTCAATCTTAGAGTAGTGACTTCCCGACAGTTCTATGTATGGCACACAATATATAATGATTTGAAATGTTTCATAATCACAAACTCAGACAAGTAAAACGTTATGCATAGCACAACAATTCAAATACATCACATGTTTTAGAACTATGTTTAATCCAAACTCAACTCTATAAAATTAACTTATAAATTATTTTTTATATATAATTTTACTAGTCGGTTCTCTAAGACTGAGTTAGACTTGAACATTCATTTTAAAAATATCTATATAGAAATAAATCATTGTAGTGCTACAATAGAGATTTTCTGGACCCTGCGGATATTGATGATGAGTATGAGCTTGATCCTTTGGTAGTTGAGCTTGTAGCAGCAGATGAAGTGTAGGAGAATTTGCACATATCCATGGGAGGTGCAAAGTACCTTGCCACAGGCAACTGTGATGGAAGACTAGGCAAAGGGGCTTCAAAATTGAGGACACTAATCACTTGCCTAATGGAGGGTCTCGTGGTGTGATCAGGGTGACAACACCACAACCCAACAACCATCAAGCATTCCATTTGTTGTTCATCAAATTCCCAGTTTAATTTCTCATCACTTGCTTCAAGCAGTTTCCCTCTTCCATAGAGGCTCCACACCCACTCCACAAGCCTAACTTTCCCAGGCTCTTCTTTCACTTCCACAGGCCTTCTACCACATGTGATTTCAAGTGCAACAACACCAAAGCTGTACACATCGGACTCCTTGCTTGATTTCCCTGTGGTCACACACTCTGGGGCTAGGTACCCCATGGTCCCTGCCAAAACTGTGGTTTGAGAACCAAGTTCATGGTCCACTAGCCTTGCAAGACCGAAGTCACCAAGCTTGGCATTGAAATTTGCATCCAACATCACATTACTTGCCTTAATATCCCTATGCACCACACATTGTTCCCACTCCTCATGAAGATAAAGAAGAGCAGATGCCAAACCTAAGGCTACTTTGTATCTCACCCCCCATGAAAGCATGACCCTATTTCCAAATAGATGTGAATCAAGGCTTCCATTAGGCATGTATTCATATACAAGTAGAAGCTCACCTTGTTCATGGCACCATCCTATGAGTTGAACCAAGTTTCTATGTCTCAGTCGGCTGATAACTCTCACTTCTGATACATATTCCTTTTTCCCTTGTTTTGACGTTTTCGAAACCCTCTTCACTGCCACTTCAAGGTTGGAGTTTACAACTAAACCTTTGTAAACTCCTCCGAATCCACCTTCTCCTAGCTTTCCTTCTTCTGCAAAGTTGTTGGTTGCATTGCTTAGTTCCCTATAGGTGAACCTCTTTGGACCAGTTCCTCTCTCAAACTCATCCTCTATGGAAGCATCAACACCTGTGTTGTCTTCCCTTATACCCTTTGGTCCATTTCTCCTTCTCCAAAAGATAAACCATATTAGACCAACACCACAAGCTAAACAACCAAAACCAACACTTAAACCAGATACTAAACCAACCTTAACCTTTTTCCTACCCTGCTCATCCAAGTTTGAACTGAATGACCAAGAGAGGATGTTGTGTATTTCAATCCATTGACCCGTGGCAGCAGAAAAGCCTACTCTAACAAACTCCGGCAACACCTCCCTCAAATCAATCACATACCAAAGACTAGAATTTCCACTAAAAGTTGGATTATTAGCATAAGTAAGGAACACAGAGAGATTTTTGGTTGTGGAGTTATACCATATCCAAGTATTTGCAACTGACCCGTTTTTAATGCTGCTTCTCCAAGTGACATTCGCCACTGATTTAATGGAATTGACATTGATCCCTACGTGATCAGAGCTCGGATCCCAATCGTTCATGAAACTGTCGAACTCAACCGCCACTAACTGATTTTTGCTAGTGTCCAACGCGGATTCGTTGCTGAATAGGCCAAGGTACCCACCAGCTGAATTGTTTGGGATCACAGAATCAAACGGCGCAATGAAGAATGATAACCCATCACCGAAACGTGTCGGGTCAACGGCTCTCATTACAAAAGAGAAGTGGGTGGTGAAGTCCGTGAGCTTCTTCGTTCTTCTATCCCAAAGCCTCACTGGTTGGTCATACGAGGCTCGACCAACGCTGAATGTGATGCTGTCATCAATTTGGTTCTTTGTGAGCTGCAGAACACCGTTTGAGGAAAACGCATCACCCTTGAAGTCTATTAGATTATTCAGGTTTTGCTTGAAGGATGAGAAGTTGAAGGAAACGGACTCTACTGTGGTGAAGATTGTGTGGAACAAAGTGATGAAGATGATAAATATGAACAATGGGGTATTGTTGGTTTGATTAGAGCATGAAGTTGAACTGAAAAAAGCCATGGCAAAGGAGGGAGAGAAGAATATTGTGATGGTGGAGGTGGTACCAACGAGTAGCTAAACTATATGCATCGACGAATTCGAAGGTGGTCGATTAAATTAATGTAATAAATAGTTATGACATGAGCATGTTTTGGACAGTTCCAAATATATGGTAGCTATAACGAATTAAAAATGCGGCTTTCTAATCAGTAAATTATACACACTCGTTCTATACTTTTTGGTCTCTACCAACAAGTAGTTGGTCCAGTAATTTAATTGTTTTAAGTAAGATTTTGAATTTGAGTCTTATTTATAAAATAAAAAATTATAATTAAAAAGAGATACTCTACTAAAAATAATTGATTAAATTTTTTAATATAAAGTTGATTGATATTTAAAAAATTTCTCCTTGTCTCTAAGAACCTAAGATCAGATATTGTGTTGAATTTCATTGAGTATCTGAATTAACTACAAGAAATCCTTCTAATTTAATTATTTGTTTTGAGTTGAAATCCCTTACATTCTATCTATATTAAATATTTGTTAAAGGAATTTTACTACCAGATTAGAATTGCCTATGGTAAAAATTTCGTGTAGTAATAAGAAAAAAAAAAAAAAAGACCATACGTTGAGTAATGTGAAATCGATATGTTTAATCCATTTGTCTCCACCGTTGATGAGGAATGAGTCCTCTCTTGTAGCATTCTCTCCGGTCACACTCTACCTCTTTATCTTTCTCTAATTTTTCTTTCTCACTGCATCACTTTTCATGTGCTCTTCAAATTTTTTATTTTAATATACTTGTGCTTTTGTGCCGGAGAATAATAATAATAATTGATTTTTAAAGTAAAGAAAGAAAGAAAATAATATTTTCTAAATTGTGTATTGTAATTTATAATATAAGAGTATACCCAAATTATATGTTTAACATTTTTTTTTGTCATTCCTAAATTAATTATTACCTGATATATATATATATATATATATATATGTATCACATATATTTAATTTGATATTTGTACCAACTTGGTGGATGAGACCGAGCTTATGATACGACTAAACCAAGTTGATAACTTAACTTTTGCAATAAATACATTGGACGCCGATCGTGGCTTCATCTAGTATGGTTATTCATGAATGTTATATATGATATTTGTTAAAATATAAATTTTCAAGTTAAAAGATAAAAATAAAATATTTATTTTTCAAATATAATTATATTAAAAATTATTTTATATATTCTTATACTAAAGATAAATAATTAGCAAATATATATTTAAAGTAAAAATACACTAGACCAAATTATTTTATATATATATAATTAAGACATATTTCACTCAATAACTAATTATCTATATAGAATTATAGAATTATTTTAGGAAGAATAAGTTAGCAAGTGCACGTTAATGCATTTTATTAAGAGAAGCTTTTTAGTTATAGCTTGATTGAATGAGACATGAGTAACAAGACAAATGCATGTCTTTTGTCAAATTAAGAAATAAGTCACCGAGACAACAATAAGATACAAATTAATAATTGTAGAAATTCTCATCGAATGGTGATAACCCATACGAAAAGTATGGTGACAAACCAAACAAATAATGGTGCCGGCCCTTGTATAATAATAAATATAATGAATTAAGAAGAATATATGCAATGTTTAGTATTTTGTATAACTTAGAATTGACCCTCTCATTGTTTGCTTAAATGATTGAATATAACCGTGGGATGCCTTAAGTTAGCGGCTTATAGTTATTCATTTGTAGATTAAACTATAAACTTTGGTGGAGGTTTATAACTCGTGTTAATTTTTTAATGTAATACTACTATCTTTTCTCCCAAAACTTCTCTTTACCAGTAACCAAAAAGTCACTAAGTTGACATAAATAAACCAAATCAAAATTTAAAACATTTATTAATTGGTTGTTGGTTTATCCATTATATGTTAATCAATGTAGTGTACTTATAAGGTATGTCCAAGGAAAATTGTACATTATTGTTGCAGTAATAAATAATGGGCAAAATTTAAAAACCCAAAAGACTAATAGTACTTTATAAAGAAAGTTATAGCGTAATCTGACTGAAATAATTGCTTGCTTTTAATGCGAAAAGTATAAATAAGATAAACAATAATTAAAATTGTTGTTTTCATTCAAAGGAAAACCCAACCTTATGACTCAACAATTTATTCAATCACTTTGTTTTTAAATAAATTATTGATCGAGGTTTTAGTTAAAAGCCAACAATTTCATCTAGATTAATATTTCCAACAATTCCATCTAGCTTAATTTTAAGAGAAGATTTAAGTTTTTGTGGAAATTAATTAAAGGACTGAAAAATTAGTTAAATTGTTTGAGCTCTCAATAACTATCAATTTCAATTATCTCAATGACTATCACTTAATTGTAGTAATTAAGAACGTTGATTAATTAAATTATGAAAAAGGGGTTTTACCATGCCTGAATTCAAAATAATTGAGAAAAGGTAGTACAATTAACACGTACATAGTAAAGACAAATTCAAGAAGGGAGATTAAATTGAGTCTATTAAAAAATTCAATACTTTCTACATAAGTATAAGCAGTAAAGTAGATGTAGGAACTATTGGGTATAGACGAAGTAAAGCAAATAATACAATTTTTTTTCTATATTATTTCATCTCAACTGTCGAGATTACATCTAATTCTTAACCTAACCAAGTTTTACTATATTTTACAAAGATCAGGTATTTTTTACGATATAGGCACTATTGGTTCAACTTAAGTTCTTTGATTTTTCTTTTCAATTAAAATACCCAAGAATTCTTTGACTTACAAAGTTTCTATCGACTTTTAAACCAATTTTTTTTTTAATAAAAGTCTCCCCTAACTTCTAGATAAAACACAAAGTTTAAGTTAGATAATAACAAAGAATTGTCTTATGCACAAGACATAATAAAAAAAAATTAAGTACAAAAACATAGTTGTATAGATAAAAATAATGAATAGATATTCGTGCTTTTTTTTTTTTAAGCTTGTCCATGCTTCTTAATACACTACAATAAAAATGCTAATTATTGATGAACATAATCCGTCAATAACAATAAAAATTCGTTGGTAATAGAGGATTTTCGACAGACAAAAATTCATCAAAAATATGGTGATTGAAAAAACATATTCCTTCAATAATATTTTCATTTGTGAGAAATTTCTAACAGATGCTACTATAGAAAATATTTGTCGGTAATTACCTATGGAAGTCTCAATAAAAAATTACCAACAGATTTTATATTATAAATTATTAGTAGTTTACTATCGGTGGATATATCCATTGAAAATTAAAGCTGATCCATTATTGATGGATTATCTGTTCGTATAACACACTAAGTTTGCGTCTGCCAATAATGATAAACTAGATAATCGAGAAATAAATCATTCAATAAATATTAATTAGATTACCGACAGATGTTTCATTGATATAACTTGAATTTCTTTATTTTTTATTGATAGATAAATCAATCGATAATCCCATAATTATTTTTTCATGAATTTATTAATCTAATTATTATAAAATATTACAACTTGATAAACAATAATATAAAAGCAACCTCCTCAAAATAAATTTAAAGAGTTATAATAATATTTATCATAATTATAATCCAACTTATATGTATTAAACAATTCATAATTTAAAACACACCATAATAATAAATTCAAAACATATTCACAATATTTTTTAATACAATCTAATAATTATCATAGGAACTCCAATAACAAAGAAATAATCAAGTGTGCCATGGTGCGGTTCAAACTAGAATGGCCCACCATAGGTGTTGAATGAAACTCCAATAGCAAAGAAGGTTGCAAATCCAGATATTAGGGATGTATAACCTTTGATGAAAATATCATAAGCTATGAGAGACATGGTAAGAACCTTGCATGGTCAGATTAGATTCAGACTTTTCCAAGAAAACAATCTCCTAATATGTGTGGACACTAGTACAAAAATGACTTTTAAAATTGGGGTTTTAAAATCGGTCATAAGGCAACCGATTTTAAAAGTGACGCGGTGACAATTTTGTAAATAATGGCATTATTTTAAAATCGACTACATTATGACCGATTTTAAAAGTCTCTGACACTACTTTTAAAATCGGCTCTTGAACAGCCGACTTTAAAAGTGATAATTTTAAAATAGGTTATTGAACAACCGATTTTAAAAGTAGCATCAGAGACTTAATCTATACTATTTTCGCTCCCATACTCCCCCTAACTCCATTCTCTACTCTTTGGCTTCAATAGTTCATATATTCTTCTCTTTACTCTCTCGGGCTCTCATCTGAAGTGTGCAGCTTCTCATTTTCTTGGAAGAATACAACATCAAGGTAACATTCTCGTCTCATGTCTCTTATTTCGTTGTTACTGGGCGAATTTTGAGTCTGGAACGGCCCCAGAACGGCCCGTTCTGCAAGTAGAACGGCATGTACTGCAAGCAGAATGGCCTGTACTGCAAGCAGAACGGGCCGTACTACAATCAGAACGGCCTATACTGCTTGCAGTACAGCCCGTTCTGCAAGCAATACAGGTCGTTCTGCTTGCAGAACGGGCCATTCTGGGGCCGTTCTAGGGTCGTTCCAAACTAAAGTTTTAGGCATTTTTCAGGTGAGTTCATGTGCACAGGGTGATTTTCATTATCTAACAAGGAGGATTTTGCAGGTGACTATTCTTGAAAATGTATACTGGAAGGAATTTGGACTTCTTGTATTTGTTTGGGTTTCATTCCTTGTACTACAGATTGCCAAGGTTTGCTTTTTCATATCTACTGCCAAGTAATAATTCACACCATAAAGTTTATCTAACTCGAGACCAATAATCTCCCATTGACAGGAAACCTACACGAGTACTTGTTCAATGTTATATTGGGTACTGAACTTGTTACAGGTAATTTGGTTACTCTCATACAAGTGTTTGCTTTTGTTGATTGCTCATGACATGACATAGTGCTTATGTTAAATGTAGATCTGAGTGCCTGTTACAATAATATCTGGAAACCGTTTCAACTTTGAAGCATGTTTTCTATATTTGTATCATGCAAGTTCTAATCTCAATTGGGGAAACTGCATATGAGGCAGCTGCATTGTTCTAAATTTTAAGTTTCCATTTTATCATGTTTTAAGAGTTACTTCTAATTGTTCTAAATTTTCTTAACAGATATTTATTGTTCTAAATTTTCTTAACAGATATTTATAGATCGATCACCATTGTTGCTAGAAGATATAAACACCATTAGGGAGCAATGAGCTACATTTTTCATTGAAACATTGGCTAGCTACGAGTTATGTTTATAGTTTTACTCATTTTGTAGTTTAGGCTCTTGTTATTTGTATATAATTTGGTATATTAAAAACATATGAATTGTCTGGTATTTTATTAATTTGCAGGTTTTGTTCAGGGATCCTCCTAAAATAAGTCAAATATTTAAAAAAAAAATTAACCACTTTTAACATCGGTCATGCCATGACTGATGTTAAAAGTTGGACTTTTAACATCGGTCATGCCATGACCAACTTTAAAAGTCTCACTTTTAACATCGGTCACTGTTGACCGATTTTAAAAGTCCCACTTTAACATCGGTCAGTGACCGATGTTAAAAGTCTCACTTTTTAAAATCGGCTCTTTTAAAATCGGTCAAAGAACTGATTTTAAAAGTAAAAAATGACCGATTTTAAAAGTGTTTTTTCCACTAGTGGGAGATGACAAGTAAACGAGGAACTGGTGAAGAAGTAATGAAAAAAATGGTGGATTGTTAGAGAAATGGCACAACAAGGAGTCAGTTGCGATATTCAACCTACTAGATTTATAAAATATGTCAAAGTTATACCCTTGGAGTTGACATGCCCATCTTTGTTGTTCTAGTGCGTGCATTATTTGTTTCATAAAATCACTTAGACATTTTTGATCTGTGCAAATGTGAAAATGGCTCCCAATGAGGCATTGATGCCATTTTTTTTATGGATTTTGTAACAACATAGAGCTCCTAGATATAAATTGATGAGGCATGAAGGCGAGCACACATTTTCTTATTGAAGAAGGAAAAAAAGGTGCCCTTTTTGTGACAACATAGGTCCAACAACAACAATGAAAGCATCGATTTCAACCACAAAGGTTTCAATAAAGTCATTGTTCATATTTCCGTTGAAATTAATTTTTGTTCTTATTATAAATTGTTTTAACTCAAACAACAGACTCAAACACGATAAGTATACCGATCGTACAAGTATAAATTTAAATTGTATCCACAGGGACTAGTTAGGTAAAACAAGCATTTAATGACTATTTGTGACTAAAGAGTACTTCCAAAAATTGATTACTAGGCCGAGCGCAAAAGAGTTACACCAGCGTGTCGCCACTTACATAGTCAATTTGCCTAAAGTTTTTCTTTAAGAGAAGGCCTTATCTCCACCCAGAAATAGAGTTGCCTCATTCCTCACACTCCAAACAAGATGTATCCTATATTTACCCACTCAAGCATAATGATTCTAACAATTAACATATAACACAAAACAACATATAACACAAAACAACTATGTATAACAAACATTAGTACGAAGATCTAAAATGTGAATGAAATGAGAAACACATAAAACAAAGTTCAGATCTCTGGATTGCCTCCCAGGAAGCACTTGTTTACTGTCCCGAGCCTGACTGAAAGAGACCTCAAGGCTTTCTAAACAAAAGGGTACAATAGATTCTTTTGACCTCTCCACCCTAATTCTCCTTCTCCTCCTGTTGCTATCATTTCTCCTTGTTGTACGTTTAATCTTAGGATTACTCGTAGCGGCTTAGGAGATTTGGTCCCTCTAGTTCAAATAGTGCCTTGCATACAAAGAAACAAAAGACTAGAGTGCACAAGTCAGCTCGAAGAATGAATTGCTAAAGTAAAAGTCACAAATAGCTATAAATACTAAATTGCCTTAACTAGTCCCCGGCAACGGCGCCAAAAACTTGTTGATATTTCCGTTGAAATTAATTTTTATTCTCATTATAAATCGTTTTAACTCTGACAACGGACTCAAACACGACAAGTATACCGGCCGTTCAAGTAGTAAATTTAAATCATATCCACAGGGACTAGTTAGGTAAAACAAGCATTTAATGACTATTTGTGAATGCTCTCTATTTTGATTAAGCCCGGTGCGGGCACTCTTGCGCCCAGCGTGATATTACTTCTCCTACTCCTTTTCTCTTTTAATTTCCAATCCAATGGGTCTTCAACTTCAACTCTTCACTCAATACTTGCACAAAAAATAAGGTGTATCAGGGTATTGTTAGATGAGTTTTGGGTTAGCTATATCTGCATAAAAAATGAATCAAAAGAGAACAATTATATTGCAAGAGTGCATGGGATGAGTGGAATTGTTCAATAAGTCCTATCTAAAAAGAAGTATAATTGAGACTTAATAGTAATATAACTAAGGAATCAGGGAAACATAAACTTTATGCTTTAAAGATGTAAAGGCTAACTCGAATTCTATTGTCCACAAAAACTTAGTGAAACTCAATAAATTGGTGAGCAAAGAGGTGACAAGTGTGGTGTATTAACGTATGAATCTGTAATAGAAACCATTGAGACCTATAAAACCATGTAAAGTTGTAAGAGAACATGGATTAAGCCAATCACTAATTGCTTTTAATTTATCAAGATCTGGGGCCACATGTTGAGCATAAATAACATGACCTAAATAAGTAATTATGTGCACTACAAACACACACTTTGAAAAGCTTAGCAAAAAGATTATTACAAACTAATAAGTCAAAAATGGCTTTTAAATGATGTAAATGATTTGTATATGAGAGATTAAACACCAAGATATAATTTAGTAAAAATAGTAGTAGAACCCAACTCATTTAGTAGTTTATTACTACAAGATGCATATTTTACATCGATTCTGTGATGTCATCTACACCGGTTCTAAAATCGAAGTAGAATAAATCGACTTAAAAAGTGTATAAACTTCTACATCAGTTTAAAAACTGATGTAAATTTATAGATAAATCTACATCGATTTTCCTGAGAACCAATGTAGATTTATAAATCTACATCGGTTCTCAGGAAAACCGATGTAGATTTATCTATAAATTTACATCGGTTTCTAGGAAAACCGATGTAGATTGCATTTTTTTAAAAAATATTTTTGTTTTTAGTTATTTTTGGTTACCTATAATGAATATATATATATATATATATA